CCGATTTTGAAGATTCTTTTTTTTTGTTGGAAAGAGGGTACCTCAGTAATGGCTCGTTTAAATTTGAAGAAAATATTCCACCTTTAGAGGTAGCATCCTTAGGGATGGCACCCAAGTTTGCCATGAATCCGGTTTCGTGCACTTTCCGGTAACAGATTTCAATAAAATTTTGCAAATAGATCTAATTCCATGAACTTTTGAGTTCGGTTTTTTTATTACTCCTGTACTAAGATTACTGAAAGTGGAGACAAAAAAATTTTCATCAGTCACCCCGCGATATGACCGCCGACATAAGTCGTAATGACTGCCTTTACATTTATAAACCGACTACAAAAAAGAGGAAGTTCTCAATTTGACTTTATTTTTTCCGTATGTACGTCACACGATAATTTGTGAACAATTTTTGAAGAATCTATTTTGTTGGTACCTTACTATAGGACCTATTTAAATTTGAAGAAAACATTCCACCTCCAAGGTCGGCAAACTAGGGGATGTATCCGGTTTCGCGCTCTTTCCGGTAACCGATTTACAATAAAACTTGACAAATAGATGTAATTTCATCAACTTTTGACGTCGGTTATTTTAGTACTCTGCACTGAGATTGTTTTACTTCTATTAGATTAAGTTATAAGGAAATTAATTTATCTTATCTTATTCAAACGTATCAAAGTACCAGTATCAAAGGCTTGTTTGATTGTTTACAGAGTGGGGACGTTGACGGGCTATGAGCCTCAAGACCTGATCGAAAAGACCACTACATCCACGGGTCTGATGTACTGCATATGAAATATTCACATTGCATATATAAGTTGTTTTATATAGTAGCAGTAGAGGTCCTTGTGAAAGATTTCGTCCAGGGAAGTACTGCCACCTTGCCTATTTCTGCCCCTAAGCACTGCCGTCCTAATGGAAAGTGCAGTAACGAGCTTGTTTGACGAAATTGAATTAAATACATACTAATACATAAAGTAAGCGACATTTTTACCTAAACAGCGTTGTTTATTGCAAATGATATTTTAAACTAAAACGACAAGGACGCGTCGACATTTTCCGTCAAAACTACATCAAATAGAAGCGATAGCAAAAACTAAGTTTATCGTTAGCTCAACAACTGTTAGTGTAATCGACAGAATCGATATAAAAAAAAATCATAACGTAAGCGACCCCACTTGTTATCGCAACCTACATAGTACATCACTATTTCGTCGGTTACTTTAAACAAAGTGGCAAAAAACGTATTGCATCTTGTTGCATATTTTTAACCGCAAGTGTCACTTTAAACGCCTGAAAGCCTCAAAAATAGAGATAGCAAAAATATTGTAAGCGCCAAAAAAGGCTTACATTCATAGTTTAAAAAAATATTTAGCTCATAGTATATTAAAAAATTCAATGCAGTATCAAATTTGTATGTAGAAATATTAAAAAATAAATATATAAAAAAACCCTCTCCTGTAAAATTTGTTTCATGTCGCTTACACTAAGTCGGCGGCAATGGCTCGATCAGAAATGGGTAAACGCCCGGGTTTCAACCATTTAATGCAGTTAAAATCTGGTTAACACCCATTAATGCCCAAAATCGAGGGTAATAACTATTTACTACTAAATATTTGATGTAAATCGAGTTCCGTTCTAATTTAATAATATTATTACAAAATGTTTATCGCTTTCTGATCTAGACGATTGTATTGGTTTCCCTTGAAAATCACATTGAATTAAATCGATACAAAAAATCGACTCGTGATGTACCTAAGTAGTGAAAATCCACAGGATTGTAAGGAGTTGCCTCTTTTTCATCTAAAAAAAAATTTTATAGCGAAATTTGTAATAAGTACGGAATTATACCAAATTCCGTAATCGCCGTTATTGCCCACGATTTTGGGCAAAAATGGGTTAAAACCTGGTGCTTTGGGAAAAATCCCGTTTAACACCTGGGCGGATTGTTTGAGTTTTAAGCCCACTGATCATCTCTGGACTCGACTCGTTCAATATACTCCATTCGAAAAAATAAAAAATCCCTTTGGGTCGTATTCTTGAACTCTACTCAATGCTCAAGTCAGTATTTGGGTATGGTTTAAAGCACTCGAAATCATACTCAAGTCCCTGCCATTAGGGTCGTATTTCCAGTGCTCGCGTTGCCAGTGCAATCCTGACTTGAGCATTGAACAGAGTTCTAGAATACGACCCTTATACATTTATGATCTGATTATACATCGAGTATATAACCAGAAATATAGACGAAATAAGGGCCATACATTCCTGGTAACACATTAGCGATACAGCTCTTATATATATCAACTCTCGTTTGCACTGAAATACAGACAGCGTCAACAACTGACCTGTGTGTACGTCTCCGTATATTCCAAAAATATTTTGTATTTATTGTATAAAGATAATATATATCTAACAATATCGTGCTGTTCCATTCGGTGGTGTGGGGAAAAACAGCAAACATCTAATTACAAAACAAACGAAATCAAATTTCATCGGTAATTAGATATGAAATATGTCATTTTGCAATTTTCGTCCATTATAGCAAAGCTCAAGTTAACTGGTCGATTTGGATTTTGACAATTGACGAGACCCGTCAATTGTTTCGAATTCTGGCTGGCCAATCGGAGCACATTTGACACAGTAATGATAATGCAGAATAGTTTTGAAACAAATTAAATGAAATTTCGTCACTATTTCTGGTTATATGTATACTCGATGTGATTACATAATTAACCAGAGAAAAAGGATAATGAGAACCCACTTTGCAAACTACACAAATCATTATACAGTTTCAAAGTATAATTATATCATTAGTTTTGGTGGTAAACATTTCCTTATCAGCTATTACAACACACCAGTGTGACAAACAACTGACACAAAGAATCCCTTTGTCGAATAATGACTCAAACTATAAAATGCAATTGCATAGAACAACAGTAAACCTAAAGTACAATATGAAATACACAAAAACCAGCATTTTTTAACTGTTAATAAAAAATCTAATTTACTTTACAATAAACACAACAAAGTAGACGAATTATGGAAAGAAAAACATAATGCACGAAGGAGCTATATATATACAACAAATTACGAAAAGATAAGGAAATACAAACATTTCAATTACTTATTCAAAAAGAATTCATCGCATTTTTGATGTTTTTATTTCTATGAGTTGGTAAAAGTTTCACCATGGCAATTGATGTACAATACTTGACTAGGGCCTTGCTTTTGTTAACACGAAATTCTATCTATACATATATACCTTCATTTGAATATTTTGTCAGCACATACTCTCTGTAGAAATTTTATGATACCTTGTATTACTTGCTAAGTGAATTTGTATCCTTTTGAGAAATAAATATCTTAAACCACAAACTAATAACATAATTACAACTTTTTTATAAAAAAACTGGCAAAAGTTCACATCTATGTACCTAGTTTTATTAAAATCGGTTAATGGAAAATGGGTGAAATTCAATAATTCGATCTTAATGTAATACGGTGTTAAATCTTGAGCTTCTTGTGGAATTATAAATGTTTAGATGTCAAAAAAAACAGAAATTTGTGTATCAGGATTTTTTAACTACACAATTAAGTCCTACCATTTACTGTTACCATCTACATAACTGCCTCCACTGCCGAACGGTTACCGCCGGACTGCCACGCAGAGGTCTCAGGTTCGATTCCCGGGCCGGTCTAAATATTTGTATTGCCTACATTTATGTATCTCGTAAGTTTGGGTGTAATTTGTGATTGTCTATGTCTATTAATGGCACCCGCGACACAGAATCTCCCTAGTGCAAACATGCTACCCCTAGCATTGTCAAGTATAGTTCATTGCACCTATTTCATTTGTGAACAAATGGGTAAATGTTCCATACAAAAGTGCCCAATGACCTATGTGAGAGTTATAATTGAGGGGAAGATAATAGGTCAAAGAAGGAGAGTAACACCAAGAATGGTATACAGTGAAGAAATAAAGAAGAACAACAAAGTAAACAACTATAATAAGGCCAAGGAGCTGGTTTCGAACCAGCTACATCCCCTGTCCCGTTAATATGAACTTCCTCCTAACATTAATCCATGCTCCCTTTGTGCATGTGCTGTGAAAATTTATTAAAAAAAAAATTGGTTTCTGTAATAGATTCTCCTCTCAGTGAATTCTATCAAAATTCCTCAACTTGACATTGACAAAATCATTGATTAATTCGAAGGGGGTCATAACATTTAAAAAAAGAACAAGAAGGCTACACCGTCCAAAGCCTGGCTCTTAAATAGGCTTAAGATATTTTTTTGTATAAAAATTTTTAGTTACTTCCGTTATATCCTTTCAAGGGACATGAAATCAAAATGATGACCTTGATGGATCAGCAATTAGTACTGTGGATGATAGATGAAAACAAACTTCCTAATTGGGTTCAGTCTAGGTGTTTTGAATAATTCTCCTTAGTGAGTACAGCAGGGCTAGCACAATAGCGCGTAATTTCTATACTCTCGCTCAAGTCGCGCCTTGTCGTGCCAGCCCTACAGGGAATTGTTTTTAGTTTGAGTGCAGGTGGGTTATCTGAGATATTAAAATTAAAAAATAGTTAAAGGGGATCCCAAAACTTAAACAGAGATAGAAAAATTGTCCAGAAGCATTCCAGTGCCGAAAATTTTGGCAACATTTTTAATTACGATCTCAAGTTATAAAGTAAGGTAACCTCGTTTCCAATTTCAGATAAAAAGATAGGGTACCTACGCCATCTCAAGCTAGTTTCAAAGTAATATTAGAAAGTTTTAAGACAGTAACTTCTGTTATTACCAATGTGTGAAATGATACGATATAATGGTATTGTTACATTTCTAATAACAACATACGCAACAGTAGTTAAGGAACCCTGTAAGATTCTTATAAGGCAAGAATGCAAAAACATTTAACTGACTTCAGTTACGAAGCCGTTTCATAACAAAAATTATATACTCCACATAGAATATTACGAATACATGTTAAATAACAAAAAACTTACGTATTTCCAAACTGCAAGATTGCCGCAATACTTATGACGCAGTTTTATTCACCAAAATCCGAAAAACAAAGGATTCTGGGAATCCAAAACTGTTTAAATGTCTATTAAAATCAATCTACCACATCACCACACAATAATGGTCAGTTAGGTACTATTTTTTACGTGTTATATTTATTTTTACGAAATAAACAAATCAGCTGGTAAAGAATAACAACTTCGTGACAGCGACAAAGGGGACCGTGCTGCTAGCGGGTTGGTCGAATCGAATAAATCGAAATAATAATCTACCAATCACAGCGTAATTCTTGACGTTGAGTTTCAATATTGCCATAACAATATATTGCAGTAAAAGTTCGTTTCGTACTTAGAAGTAAATTTTAATATTATATTTAGTTCTTATTATTCGACTTAGTTTTTATTAATTTGGGTTATTAACTAGAAAACGTTCACGTGTTTTCATATTGCATTTCTGCAGCAGATTATAGAGCTTGCTTTTCTCTTTTTGTGGTTTCAGTGTCGGGTTCGTTGTTTTTACAATGATTTATATTAATTAATTTTTTATTGAATTGATATTCAATTATTTTATGTGAAATTACTCCACTAGTTTGTTATAATTATTAATACAATGATCGAACACTCAGAAAAAAAATTCCTTCCATCCGGTCGAATTCGAACCGACGTCTTCTTGCATACCGTGCCAGACGCTATACCAACTAAACCACGGAACAAACCAACGGACCTCACGAATTTTTCTATGTGCTTGCGTCGTGTCTTTGTACTTGGTCTTTCGACGACTTTTTAGTCGTAGCGCCATCTATGAGAAATCTATGACAGATTTATCACCCAGTTAGTACCTTTACAGCTACCAGTCCTGGCGAGAGATGTCGCTATTCACTGTATTAATTAAATTGATATTCAATTATTTTTTGTGAAATTACTCCACTAGTTTGTAATAATTATTAATACAAAGATCGAACACTCAGAAAAAACACTCGGAACAAACCAACGCTCCGTGGCATAGTTGGTATAGCGTCTGGCACGGTATGTAAGAAGACGTCGGTTCGAATGCGACCGGATCGAAGGAATTTTTTCTGAGTGTTTTTTCTGAGTGTTCGATCTTTGTATTAATAATTATAACAAATTATTTATATGTTATTTCATCTTTTATGTTAGCTTCTTCTTTCTTCGTCTTTTAAATTAGTTTTAATAAACAAAAAAACAAAAACATTTCACATGCACACTTATCAATCCGAGCTGAGTTCTAAGAATTTTTGAGGTAGTATAATGGTCATATTCCTGAACTCTACTCAACGCTCTAGTCAGGACCTAATTGAGTGAGTATGATTTCAAGCACTGGAAATACGACCCTAATGGCAAAGACTTGAATATGATTCTAATGCTTTAAACCATACTCAAGTCCTAACTTGGGCATTGAGTAGAGTACGACCCAAACAATCAGTCTAAAGAGTTGCCACCGTATTTACGTATTAAAATATTTTTAGGTCTAAAGTAATTATGTGAAATTGCATTTTAGGATAGTCTCATTAAGATACTGACACTTCGGAGATCAAAGTGAATCTAAGGATATCTCAAACACTAAAACCTCAATCTTCAAGACATTATAAGGTAAATAATAATTAAATCATTACCCTGAAAACATACCCTTTTGATGATAGAATAGATGTTTTCTATTGTCTGATATTGATATCTGAGTCATCGTTGAAGGATTATTTAATAATATTTAGTATTAGTTATATGTATTTTTTTCCGTATCTCTTACAGCTACAGTACTTAGACCATATCCCATGTTATTAAGTGACCTTCTGATTATGCTATAGCCACGGCAACACTAGCAGTGTCATAATAAGTCTGCTTGCGATAAATTTCATTTTGTGAGTTTGAATGATTTAGATATTTATTACAAAAGACGTAGAAACATATATTTGATGATGATAGATCGACAAAATTAGAACGACGTAATTTCGTAACTGCGTCCTACATTTTTTTTAAACACTACTATTTTATAGTTACGCACACACAATTTTTTCTTTTATTTGCTATGCATCTTAATACGATCATTGAAATCCATAAACAGTTGATAAACAATTAAGGTTTATGTTAATTGAAAAAAAACGATGTGATATAGACATGACATAAGTACAGAGTCGAGCTCGCATATGTAGTAGGTAATCATAATTTTTGTAAATTGCTAATGTGTTTTTATGTTACTACTACTTGTGTTGTTTTCTCATAAATTTTGTATTTTCGGTGAATTTTTGCTTACAATGTGTACCACGATACTACTATGTATTTAGGTAGGCTTAATTGTATTTATGAAAGTTCTACTGAAAATTAATTAACACTATTGTCAAACTATTCTTGGGTCGGACACTTACTACTATATTAAATCTATGGGTCGGACGTCGGACCCTATTAATTAATTACTTATATTTGTTGATTTCAAATAAAACCATGAGTCAGGTTTCAGTACGGAGTGAAAAAAGATCTCACTGGCCCATCTGCCCTTATTTTAAAAATATACCCATTCTGCGCATACGATTCAGGCTTTCCTCGCTAAATACAACATTCCTGTTTCGTTAGGCTCCCTAATTTCAAAGTAATTTGAAAGAGATTAGTGTTTCGAATTTCCAAATCTATTCTATAATTCCAAATGTATAGAGATACTTTTTGTACACCCCTCAAGTCATAGTAATAATTCAGTCGATATATTTTAACAACGTTTCTCGATTTCACTGATCGTGGTTCATGAAGTCTAACAAGTTTAGTGTCATTCTAATCAAGCTGAATTTTATGGAGAATGTAGCTAGAAGTTAATAAAGCCATCCACTGTCATCTATTCAGTTCAACATGAACTGCTCAAATAGAACCTAGATTTTATGAAACGAGCGAGCCATATTAAATGTTGCCAATACATAGACAAAAATTACATTTTATTTCATTTGATGAAAAAAGAAATACCTAACTCAAATAATATGGACATTTGTTATGCATTAATTAAACCTTCAATGTAATTTTCTTGCTTATATAAGAATCATCAAAGAAGCATCAGTCACTATCGTGATATTTCTGTTCATACATATCAATTTTATTGAGTAACAAAATAACTTTGCCTGTGACGGAACAACGTCGATCGAATCCGCAATTCATTTCGCATTCTTTGAATTTGGTTTCGGAAATTTCACGCTTTTTAAACCTTCCTAGATCTCAGCTAAAAAAAATTTGAGCTAAATAATATAACTAAAGATATTTTTAAGCTCGTAAATGTTAAAATTTGTGCATTTTGTCAATAAGGCGCGCCTTCAAGTGTTTTTAAGTTGCCCGCCTTTTGATTCTCACGCCCAGTTTGACGTCACATTTCATTCGGGGTTCTCGATCAAACCTTACCGCACCCTATTACATTTCCTCCAAAAAGGTGTATGTATTGAATGTTAAAATTCTAAAGAACTTAAATGTAAGGGAAGACGTATGAGTTTCGTATGGCAATAATTATAGTACTTCGTACGGCCACCAGACTGCGCGACAGGTGCAAACTCCACTAGCGCAGAATCCGCCAATCACGTACAAGGGACTTTGACGCAATTTGCAAATGGCCGTGAAAAGGACCGAGCTCCAGGGTGTATGAAAAGTTAATGGTGGAAGAATCCGTGATAAAAACTTGTGAATAATCTCGTATTCAGTGTGGTGTTGTTGGAATTATACAAAATGTGCCAAACAGTGAGAATCCAGTCTTAATGGTGGTTTAGGCAGCGCCCGAAACCGCTGGAGGGACGATCGACGAGACATTGCTGACAGAAGGGTAAAGTTCTTCATTCATTTTCGCTTGTATATTATCTATTTCGGCGCTTACTTGAAGATTTTTTTATCTATTATAATAATACTCGGCGTTTTTGGTCAAAAGACCCGTAATGATAAAGCATAAGCTTAGGAAATTGATGGGTGTATCGCCCATCCTTGCCGGCCTTATATCGTTGCGTGAAGCACCTATTAGAGCCAGAAGGCCCGTGTTATCGAGCTAATAGATTGCGTTACGCCGACAGCGGTTGCTAGAAGAACGTTTTTCGGGCCAGTGGCGGGCAGGAAGTGACAAATTTGTTGGGAAAGTCGTTTCGCACGTAGGTAATAAGTATAGATAGGTATAGGATCCCATGGCAGGCACGGCCCTGTTGCTAGATGGTAGGACATCGATTGGATCGGAATTTCCGATGGTTTTGTTGTAGTAGTGTGTAGTATATCGTTGTTATATGCAATCTGTGCGTGATTTGTGTGTTTTTAACGAAAGGGAAATAAATGTTTTTTTTTGTGTCGTACAGCAAAAAGATATTGTTGAATAGTACTAATTAGTGTTAGTGTGGATGATCAAATTATATTGTGTAGCTGCAGCGTGTTCTCGAGGGATTTTTGTAGCAGTATTACTACTATGATTAATTACAAGTTGTGAATAGGCAAGTATATGCAATGCACATTCTTTTTATATCTACAATTGTCCAAAAATTTTCTTCTTTATAAGCCCTAAAAACGGAATATAATGTAAATTTAAATCCTTGAAGTCCATTTGGCCCTTTGTGGCTAAATTTAAACGGAATATAGTCACAATTATGGTATTTTTTTGTGTAGTCACAACAATACCTAAGAGCTACTTATATATAATGTATAATTTACCAATATCAAAATTATTTACTTCCAGTCTGAGTGTATTGCAATCTGAAGCATTCTTGTATATTGAAATACCTACCTATGTGGTGTTAGTCATTTGGTTAAATCTCATTACTGACTTTATTGCCCGTCACACTAACTTGCTCGTCTTTATTTCCTATGTTTACATAAAATTATGTATGTATCCTCTTAGTAAATAAGTTTATAAGCACAGGCATTAAACGTAAAATAAGAGGAGTGAAGTGATTTTACTCAAAGTTTTAGCAGATTATTTGATTTGTAACTAACTTAGCCAAGGATGAAAAGACTTGAAAGTATCTACAAATAGGTAGGTAGACTTAGCAATGTCCTCCAGAACTTATTCTGTTTGTGCTCAATTTTGCATTAGTTGAAATGCCTATATCATAACCTCTTTCAGTCCCTGATTGTAACAGCTTAAAAAATTTGATAAATTCCACTATATCTTAAAGTTAAGATGGCTAACTGTATTAGTACATATAGAAACAACACCAAAATCAGATGATTAGCATACTTTACAGTATTAGTTATACTAAAATTGACTTATATTAATATGCCAGACATTCAAACCCACTACAATTTACCCTTACAGACGTTATAGTATAGAAATTGTGCAAGCAATCTGTATCTCTATTTCCAAGTGCATACAACCCTAACATCGTCAGGGGTAGGATAAAAATGAATCTTCTGGGCAAACTTGAACCATTGTCAACCTCATCTTGACTTAACAAGTCTTGATTGTGGTCTGGACCCTGATTTAGAACTCTTCGATATTTGAACCAAATAATTTGATTGGATATTATTCACAAATCGAAGAGCGCTATCTGAGCTATTCACCCAGTTGAACATTTTCTTTGGATTTGATATTGTTATCGAACGTTAGTCGATGAAATAGATTATAAGAAAAATGAAAATCCTTATATATACATTTTTAAGAGTTTAAAGGCCTAAAATATAGGAATGATTTAGTCTTGCATTAAAATAAATTAATAAAATTGAACAAAATCCAGACTTTATTTAAAATAATAAGAGATTTCCATGTCACATTCTTGCTTTGTAAACATTAGGACGTTCGGTAATTTTCGTTCAATAACTGTGTTCTGAATAACTATTGTAGCCTTTGCCGGTCGAGAAGTTTGAGTAATCGCTCCAGTGTAACGTCATTTCATGCTGGGAATGATCACCCGTTTTAAAAAGTAAAGAAAAGCTGCCATGCATTAAACCTTATTTGACCATTGTCTTAAAGTGTTTTACCATCCCAATACCTAATCTTTCTAGACTTAGGGTCGTATTCTAGAACTCTACTCAATGCTCAAGTCAGGATTGCACTGGAAACACAAGCACTGGACATACGACCCTAACAGCAGGGACTTGAGTATGATTTCGAGTGCTTTAAACCATACTCAAATCCTGACTTGAGCATTGAGTAGAGTTTTAGAATATGACCCTTAGACAAACATATCTTATAGTCCTTTATATAATTGAACTTTAAATATCAGAAAATCAATTGTTTGTCTCATTTACAAATGTATAAAATAACAAAGAATGACAAACAATAACATATTCATGTATTCATTGTCATGTGCAATTGTACAGTGATGTATGTTGTGCATTGCACTCTTTGAATTGTTTCCTATTTCCTTACTGGTGTTATGGTTGGGTGTACTTTATTGTTGTCTTTTTTTTCACTGTGCTTGTGCAAAGTATGCAGCTGGAAATTTGAAGTCAATTAGAGCTTATATATTAAATATAATATACAGACCAGACTGACCAATGAAACAGAGTTGTAAATTAACATGTTTATTAGATAAGCAATGCATTTTTAACAAAAATTCAATATAGTCCTATTTTATAGTGTTCTTTACAGCAATGATGTATTAAACTTCTATGAATATGCTAAATTATCTTTTCTTTTCAAAGTTTTTTTTATCAAAATTTTATCTTCGAATAATGCCAATTAATATAAGGTTCATTTTTGTTATCAGCACATAAAGATAAGGCATGTGTGCATTTTTGTGTTATTTTTACTTATTTACATTCAATTACATGATTGTAATTTTATTTGCACCTCTCATTTGTTTTATGCTGACTAATAAAAATGTAATAATACTTATAAGCAACAGTATACTCTACCCATAGCATCTAGACCAGATACCTTTCTCATCCTGCATCCACAGTGCAAACCATGGGACCACCGAGGTAGTCAAACCTTAAGTTGTTACTTATTGAAAGATGATCTTTTGTAATATGCATTGCATTGTACGTCCCCTTGGTACACACATAACTTAAAATTTTAATGAAAATCACAACGTAAAACATTAAATTGTGAATCAACATATTCCTCATATTTTCAGTAAAAAAATTGGGTTGTGTATTGTGATATGTCATGTATTAGTAGTAGTAGCTCCTTGCAAAAGAGTAAATCCAGAAAAGTACTGCCACCATAACTATATCTGCCGGCAAGCAGTAATGTGAGAATTATAGCATTACCTGTTTTGAAGGGTAAGAGACGGGCAAATGCGACTTATCATCTGTGTGTTAGGGTGCAGGGTGCAGGGGCAGTGGCTTTCAAATCTTTGCGATTTAGGGCTGTGAAGTGGTATTGGATATTTGTGGTGTTCAAATGTTTCATCACCTGCGTTCTAGGAAAATTTGTTCATTTACAAAACTGAGAGTCAATAAATATCTAATGTATTTATGTAACCATGTTTGTTTGTTGCCTAAAATAGCTCTTCTGGGAACTTGCATTCAAACTGCTTTATCACTGAGCAACAGGGTCACAATACTTGATTATTGATGCAATTTTTGCACATATGAACAAGAAATTTCAAATATTTGTATGGAGGACTGGCCAACTAATCCCAAAGAAACACTTCGACTACCAATTAAGTCAACCTAGATACTCATTGAATGAATCCTGTTCAGCACAATGCTAGTTTTAATTATGCCAGTACAGACGTCATATTCTTTACAAACATTTTAAAGACTGGACTGGACAGACATGATTTATAGATAGATTTTAGCTAATCTCAATGTCAAATAATTTGCTTGTAAAATTTTATGCAGATTTAGCTGCATTGATTTAAAAACTCAAGTCTCCGTAGCCTGGAGATCAGATTGAAACTGGCATCACCTACGTGAGCAAGAACTGGTGTGGTTTACATTTTGCCTTTCTATTAGGTTAGATTGTAGACCATGTAAACTTTAATTTAAAAAACAGTTACTTTTTACTTAATGAAGTAAAAAGTATGGTAGTGGTGGTGACGACGGGTACGGGCTGGATTCCCAGTATGAGCACTTTGGGAAATGTTTCTGGTCTCGGTGTTCTGGGTAGTGCCTTGCTGTGAATACCATTGTTTTTGTACTTATCATACAGGGAATTCCGTAATTTACGACCAGTCATTGCTGTAGTTGTCTGACACATTATTATTAATGTTCTATTACTTAATTAAATTTCAAATCTTTTTGGTCACATACAAAAAAGTGAAAGCCAGTCCAACTATTTACAATTTATATTTATATACTCACGCCCTTAGATTCCCATTGGGGTAGACAGAGACTCTTAGCACGATCTTTGCATCACTTACGTTCCTCAATCTTATGCCCTCATATTATTCTCACTACGCACTCCAGCCTTTTTAATAACTCCCTCAATTTGATCAGAGAATGTTCTTCGTGGCCATCCTAGTCCAATGATTCCTTCCGCGTTAGCTCTATATATTTCTTTCGTTAATCTACATTCATTCATCCGCTCCATGTACCCAAACCACCTCAGCATACTGTTTTCATTGTTTGTCACTACATCCTTTTTCAACCACAATAAAATGTAGTTTGGAAGAGGATGTAGAACAATAAAATGTCAAAACCTGTGTGTAGTCTCCAATCTATACATTTTCATTTCTTAAATGAAAGTATCAGCTTTGAGATTATGGTATTTGACATTTCCCTATGAATGGATAGAGTCCATAAAATAAAATTATCCCCATATACAAATGTAAAATAATTGCAAAGCGTCTAAAAATGTATGACTGGTTTATTCATGGAGGGTAGTAAATGTTGCGTTTGGCAGAAAGTAGAAAATGCACTGGAAATGAGAGTATTGCTGGAGTGACTCGAGAGTCACTT